TTTGTGGGTGCATGTGCATTGTGAGTGCATGGCTGCCGGGTCGAAGCAGCCGGGGGAGGCCATCGATAATGACCCCATGTGTGGAGCTCACACCTGTGGGAACAGCCAACCTCAAAAGCGCTGTAAAGGATCATGGCACAGGAGCCGCCATGCCTCAAAGAGACTCCAGAAACCATGGCATTAACTGACAGCGCTGCCAATTAGTGGTGTGAACCCTCTGGGTTTTGCCTTTTGCAGACCAAGTCTGTGTAAAATTGCATTTGCACAGAGATAACAAGGTTTGTTTAAATGTTGGTTTAGAGGAGGTGACCATGCGGCACAACACAATGAAAAGCACACTCTTTAAGAAGTCATGGAAAAGGTATGTTAAGATTTTTGGTAATGACTTCTGCAGCAAAACTTTTTTACTATCATATTCTGATCAAAAACCAAGCTGACTAATATGGGGAGTTCATCAGTTTGTCTATAATACCATCTGCATATGGTACTACTTAAAAATACATTTGTTTTAAAGTGCCACTGAAAGTGCCCTTAATGGAGTGTTAAACTTTTGGCCACTGTGCTTTGGAAACTTTTGCCTTCTTCAAAGAGGTAGTTTAAAAAAATGCCTGCATGTTAAATATAGAGCTGGAGCAAGAGGACCATTTAGCGTTTACTCCTCCTAGTTCTAAACTTAATTAATGTAAGTTTAGAATATCATAAAGCTCAATTTTATCATATAGCTTACACCAACAACCTATTGTTGGTTTGGCCTGCTGTTTTCTGTCAAAGATCTCAAGTAATGTTTATTCAGCATCAGATTAGGAAGGTAGATTTTTTTTATCATATTATCAGCTTTGTTGTGTTTCATTGTAGAATGAAAGACTAAATTTATCTCCATGTATTGAAATTTAATGAGGCAAACTTGGCTGGCTGCAGACTGAAGAGGATAAGAAACACTCCAAAAAAGACAGGACTGCAGTGTCCTCAAAGCTTCTTCAAAGCCAAAGTGTTCAAAAGTATATAAAAACATATCTGTTTAGTCTTTTCCTCCTTTTCAGCTCCCCCGCTCTGTCTGTGTTGCTCTCTTCATGGTGTATCCTCTCATTTATATCTCGTATTCCTTCTGTTTTAGCTTTCTCAACTCATCACATTCCGTTCCTCTAATTTTCACTTCACTTCAGTTTTTTTTCTTGAATCCTCCCTCTTCTTAGCTTTCCTCCATCCAAAGGGAGTAAGAGGACTACTTCTTAAGAATTTGTTGAATAATACATGCATGTTCGAGCACAGTAGAGCTGAGGAGGCTGACATGGATGGAAGAGAGACTATTGAGCTGGATATAGAGTTTTTATAACGTGTGACTATGGAGCATTTATTATGTTGAGAAATGAGCAGACAGGTTCATTACAGGGCGGAATTATAAGATTTGATAAATCTTTTAGGTTCTTCCTGGCAAAAGTGAAAATGTGTAAAAGCACACGTTTATTTTTTAGATGTTTTTAATGAGCGTACAGACTTTTTCATAAACATGTTAACAGCCAGTTCAATGTGTTGATGGTTAAACCTCACTTCAAATATGTATAAGCAAAGATATTGACTCTTATCTGAGATTTGAGGAAGCAGGACGTGTTTGTGGTCTGTCCATTCCTGCAGAGTCAGATCTGTCAGACATAAAGGGTCACTCCTGCCCTGTAGCCCAGTGACCCCATCAGACAGTGTTGAATTATGGGTAGTGGCACTTAGGTCTCACAGCTGTCTCACCGCTTTGGGCACAGTGATAGTGAGTCATCTCTCTCTACCTCTCTCTCTTTCTCCCACACACACACACACACACACACACACACACACACACACACACACACACACAGCAGCAGCTGGACTGCAGAGTCGCTGACATTTAAAAGTGAGGGAAAGAGCAATGAGTGGGAGCTGGAAAAAAACAGAGCTGCAGCCATGATGGTAACAAACACATCAGAGCACCAAAGACTAGAATAGTCATAGATGTGGCCTACTTGTGTTTAAAGCGAGTGTGTGCTTTTTGGCCTGTACTTATTCTCTTTGCTACAGCATGTTTTTTTATGTGAATTTTCAAAACATTTACAAGAATTTTAGTCATTCAATCTGCTTTAGAGATTAAAACATCACACTAAATGAAAGCAAATTAAACAATTACACTTTAAAACGACATTTAAGGTGTATTAAAACAACATTCATTATTTGCAGATACTCTTGAATTTTAGTGCAGTCTGGAAATGCCTGTGGGAGTAAATATGATTTCACCTGAGATATGAAAATCAGTAGTGAAGCTGAAATGTCTGAGATGGCGTTTAGAGAAAGTTTGAAAGCCAGTTTGGATTGAAGACCCACTAAGAGCTGCTTCTCCACTGACCTAAGCAAGTGATAAAAACGCAATAGGTCTAACAGATAAGCCATATTCAATCAATTCAAACACTCAAAAACAAGATTTTAGGTTGAGGTGGATATGATTTACACACAGTCTCTTAGCCTAGAGCAGGGGTGGGCAACTCCAGGCCTCGAGTGCAGCTGTCCTGCAGGTTTTAGATGTGTCCTTGATCCAACACGGCTGATTCAAATGGCTAAATGACCTCCTCAACATGTCTTGAAGTTCTCCAGAGGCCTGGTAATGAACTAATCATTTGATTCAGGTGTGCTGACCCAGGGTGAGATCTAAAACCTGCAGGACACCGGCCCTCGGGGCCTGGAGTTGCCCACCCTTGGCCTAGAGGTTAGGTGGCATGTCTCTTGCTATATATCTGCATTTTTATCTTGAAATGAAATAGGAATAACATTAGATATTTTAAACTAAAACCTAAACGTGAGAAAACACTTACTTTCCCTTAGAAACTAAAAAGATTGATGAATGGCTAGATTAGACTTGACCGCGCAGAAGCTAAAATTATACAGGAAATGTCTTCAGCTGTAATCTTGTAGTCAAGTAGGTCAAATGAATCGACATCACAAACAACAGGGGGCACTGGTGCGTATAATTCTTTGAGATGGGGTTGTTGACATGAGTGTGAGTTAATTGTCAGCACATAATATTTTTCTATTTTAATAGCTGTTCTCTAAACAGATCAAATCTTTAAGGATATTTTTTTTCTTTTTCAGTTTTGGATCCTTGTCCTTTTATTGAGTCACCCAATTTTACTTTAAATTTATGTTTTGGGTGTTTTAGTTTATGTTTGAGTATTATTTTACATCTTAGCCTAATCAGCTCGGACTCTTCCTTTGTCAAAGGGTCTGTTATCTACCCTTCTGTTTTGCCTGGCTCATGGCGATGTTCTTTTTGGGGGATTTTGTACTCGCCCAAATCAACCACAATAAAGACTCTTTTCATTGGATCCTGTTCACGTCCATGTTATGATAGAAACTAATAAGCTATACAAAAACAAAAAAATGATTAAAAATCAAAAACTAAACTGAAATAAGGAAACTGACCTACTGTCTGAAATCTAAACAAGGCATTTTTAATACAACAGTGCAAATAACTAATGAAAAATAAATTACAGTAATGTTTTGCAGTTTGTTTTACTCTTGTCTCTACGACGTTTGGTGCGAACACCACTTTACACCACCACATCTATCTGTTTGCAAAATTGCTAAAAAATTACAAGTTATCTGGATCTGGATCCAGGAATATTTGCGAGTATTCTTTACTGTTGCGTTACATTTTATGAAAATATGTTTATTTTATTTATTTATTTTTCCTTGTTATTCTTTTAAGAGCAGTTTTTTCAGCTGAGAACAATCTCCAGACTAAAATATTTCTTAAAATCATGTTTTTTTTTCAAGCCTTGAATAGTCTTGAACATGTATATGTTGTATCCATACAACGTAAAGATTAATAAGACCTGCTTCCCACTCAGTATTGCCCACCTTACTTAATGTCCTGGCAGCAACAGAGAGCTTTGTTTGTTAGTTTTTTCTAAAAACATATATGTTGGCATATCTGTAAAGAAATATTGCTGATAAACAAGTGTTAAGGTCTGTGTCGGGTTAATGGCTGCTGAAATTGGTGAGTTGGAGAACAGGTTATTCACTGGCAATGTTGATGTTGCACAGGAAGTCAAATACACAGCCTTTGTCTCTCTTTCTCCTCAACATACTCAAATACACACAATGACATAAACAGGCTATCTATGGCAAACAACATAGCCATCTGTTGAATATTTGATCAGAGACCAGCGCAGCCTTAATAATTTAGCAACAGGCCTTTGCATGACTCTCACTGCTAGTGAATGTTGGGTCCACTTGGCACACTAGGAATCAATTCTGCCACTTGACTAGAAACTATTCAACAGCTGTCTAAATCTGATATCATTATATTTTACAGGCATGCCTGAATACCACCTGCTTTACATTATGGAAGATGATTTATTGCTGCAGATGTGTTTGGTAGTTTCATGATATACTGATAATCCGCTCAATGAAATTGTAAAGTACTAAAACCGGCATGAAAATATTAAACCTATTTAAGCTCTCTGTACTAATTTTGGAACTAAAAAAGGGTCATTCCTGTAGTCTTAAAAGCAAATATTTTCTTAGTGAGTTGAAGTTTTTTCTTTCATACTAAGAGTTTTAATATTATGTACTGTAGTAGATTAAAACCCTATATCCTTTGCGATTTACTTAAAAAAATGTTATACCTAAACTATTCTTCAGTTGTTAATCTGGGATGCTCCTTTTATACCCTTGTTTTGTGTTACTGGCCTTGACAAAACTTTTTTACTCTTTGAGCACATATATGTTCACCATAAATGATCATTAATAACGAATCTTCTCTATTTCATTTTGAATAAGATACGAATATTAATTTGAGGCATATTGTGGGCGTACTGTAGTGATAATCCTTGTGTCATGGCTGGATCAGTTTAAGTCACGGGGGGGTAGTGGACTGCAGCGGTGATGTCCGGTCAGCTTGGTGTCTTGGCCGGTCAGGAAATAAACCGGATGAATAATACACAGTGTCGACGGTCACATGTCGTGCAGCGGGCTCCTGAATGATTTAAAGCTTTTTACATCATCAGCCTCGCCCTCCCTCCCGCTCTGTCTGCCGCTGATGCACCGCGCAGCCCGGAGATGCTGCTGCTGATGCTGGTGACCGACTGCAGCATCCGACATGGGTATCCTCTAATCCGGCCGTGCCACAGTGAGTGTTTTTCCTTCGCTTTTCTCCCCTTTATTCTCCTTGCCATCGTGTTATCTTAAACTTGATCACCTTCCACCCTCCTCCTTCGTTTATCACCTATCCACCCCTCCTCTTCACCCACCCTTTTTTGTTGTCTTCCTTTGTGCAGTTTTTTCACGAGTGATGGCGCATTATAACGTGGCGGAAACCGTGCGTCTTTCCTATAGGGAGTGTGTTTATGATTTCGCGGAGTGGACGGAATGGTCGGTCAATGGTCCCGTCCTGTCACCTTAACGGTGAGCGTTAGAAACAAGGGGGGAGGCAGAGTTTAGGGCGGGTATCGCTTCTCCCAGCGGACTAGAGCTGCAGGAGGCTATGCTTGGAGGGTCGAGAGGAGGACAGGGCAAGACGAAGTGGCGACTGGGACCCAAATGAAAGAGGGTGGGTTCTTTAATTGAGAACATTTGCAGTTTTTAGTATGTATGCGGTTATTACCTAGACTGCTGGCTCAGTGGGTGTGTCGGAGAAAGAGAAGATTACATAATTAGAGTTAGACTTGATCTTTATGATCAGGGCAGGGTAGGAAAAATAAAGCTTTTATCCATGAACACTGTATCGTATGTGGACATTCTATCTATCTATCTATCTATCTATCTATCTATCTATCTATCTATCTATCTATCTATCTATCTATCTATCTATCTATCTATCTATCTGTCTATCTGTCT